TCTCCACTAAGGGCTACCTTGCTGTGAGACAGGACAAGTGCTGTTCTTCCTGCACAAAGAAATACATTTCAGCTAGACTTCATGTAACTACGCTTCCCCTATTTAAATTCAGTTTTTCTAGCATTCACTATAAGACGAAGTACTCAAGTTCTCTGGTCCAAGCCTCTGTTTATTGACGTACAACGGTTGTGCTAAGACATTTAGTTCCTTTTTTCACTCGCTGAACATAATAGAGCTGCCGTGGCAAAGACAGTCCATGGTGGAGCGCGGTGCTAACTACTGATAGAGCACGCTGCTCTTTTGTCCAGGTGTGTGCTCTCTTTAAGCCTGGACTTGTTTCTGATGGTATTGACCTGTGACTTAATCTGGAGGAGAACCGTGTCCCTCCGCAGCTGAATGCGCTAGCGCTGCCGAACTGTCCTAGAAGAATTTCAGTTCCCCCTCCAGACTCTCATAGGCTGAGACGGGAGAGGTTTCTGAGAGCTACTCAACTACCAGTACATCAGGAATGCTCTAGGTGGGAATCATAACCCCAGCTCTGTAGATTTAATATTTCCATAAGCAGGTACTTAGAATTACAGTGAAATAACTGAAAAATCCTTAATTAGAAGAGATTAGAATAGCTCCACTGCTGGTGGCTGATAACATGCACATTCCTTAGGTAAAATTTCACAATTTTATTGGAAATATGTAACATGGATCATTATTCAATATTAAAGGGTGAGAAATACTTTATTCCACCAAAGCCATAATTCATTTCAGCAGCTGCGCAGCAGCAATAGCTCCATGTCCCACTTCAGGATTGCCCCCAGGTCACCCCATTTCTGGGTGGGGGCTGAGCATTAAGGGACAGACCACCTTCCAGCCATCAGGTTGTTGAACATCATCCTCCAGCAGAATCCAGCTTTGAAAATGCTATATCAAATACCTCTTTGTAGTGCTCAACAAAATGCACTTCTAGTCCTTCTGTAATGAATCCAGCAAGGTCGTAATAATCCTTTTTATTCTCTGATGGCAGAATGATACAGGTAACACCTGCCCTCTTTGCCTACAGGGAAGAGAAAGTTATGCAGTCTGTTGAGTCCTAGAAATCCATCAATCTACTAGAAACACACTCTCCCATTTTAGAAAGCAAAAAGAACAGTTATTTAGGAGCATGATCTGGCTTTACTCTGTTCTTTGGAGAGCAGCAAGGGTGTTACTTATGAGATGTCACTAAGGGTGGATCCTGTTCTAGATGTCCCCAAGCCCCCAAAACGCACACTCTCCAGTCCCACCTTCTCAGCTGCAGGAAGAGCAGAAGTGGGAGGTATTTTAGTAGGACTATGTCAGCGCATTGGGACTCTGTTTAGACCAATTCATACTATTTTACAGTTTTAAAAGTCTGTTCCAACTTGGGTGAGGATAAAGCCTAGAATCAAAGGAAGAATTAGAAGCAGCTTATCAGACCAACCCATCACGTCAATACACAAGACCCATAGCACCATTCTACAGAACCTTTCGATACAGACATCTGCCTCGGAAGGAGTACAGAAAGTGGAGCCCACTCATCCGGCGGCAGGTTTGTACCCACTCACTTTATGGGTGATCCTGCACGTATCCCTGTGTGGCCACTCACACTCCTGCAAGTGCAGCCAGTCATCAGTGCCACAGACATCCCTATCACATGCTAGTCCTTCTGTAATGACTACCACAAAACAAAATGCAAAATTACCAATTTAAAGCCACATGAGGAGAAGGAATCACATTGCACAAGGCTGCAGCCCAAATAGATTTGGGGACAGAACACTGATGTGAAGCCCAAGCTCAACAGGCTACTGAAAGAGCTAATACCATTCTTGAACACAGAAAAACGTGTGTGATGCAAGGCTGATGTAGACAGGAGCTGTGCAGATGAAAAGTACGGAGAGAGATTCAATGCTTGGAAAAGAATTCTGAAAACTGCAAAGGGTTGAAACCAAAAAAGCAAGCACCACTAGAAATCCAGTGCTTGCAAGAGAGCTTCAGAGAACCTAGTCTATATAGCTTACTAAAAAAAAAAAAAAAAAAGTTAAGTAACTTGATTATGATGTACAAAGAAACTTCACAGGGGAAAATGCAAGACACTACAAGTAAGTTCCTTCTATCTAAAACAGGAAACATAGGGATATCTGTATGAAATTTTAAGTCAGACAAATTCAAGCTGGAACTAGGGAACAGAGCCTTAATGTTAAGGATGATACCTTATGGATACCACCAGATCTACACTGGATGCCCTCCTTAAACAGGCACTTCAACCCAGCACAGATTATTGGACCATACCAGTCTGTAATAGCAAAGACAGCTTTAACAGCCAGATGATCCCTTCCACCCTTAATTCTAGCAGTCTAGTAACTAGATCAACACAGATGCCCTGGCACAAAGCCTGGGGTCCCATCTCCTTCCTCACAGCCAGAGATGCAGCCAAGATCCCCATGTTCCCCCACCAGGCTTCTCCACAGTGTATATTGAATCACTGCCTCCCCCACTACAGGAGCAATCAGTCTGGTTGTCCCAGTCACCGCTGAGCCAAATCCAGGGCTCTCTCCCACAGATGATGCACAGAGACAAGGTAAGAGCTCTTACCGCGATAGTCTTTTCCTTGATTCCACCAACAGGAAGAATTTTTCCAGTTAATGACACCTCTCCAGTCATGGCCACGTTCTGCCTCACTGGGCAATTCATGGCCAGCGATAGCAAAGCTGTTACTATAGTACACCCTGCACTTGGCCCGTCCTTTGGTGTTGCTCCCTGTTTAAAAAAAAAAAAAAGCACAAACCCCCTGCCTTTAGCTCATTCAAAGAGTAGCAAAGCCAGACAATACCTTTGTCACTGCTGTTTTAACATGGCCCCAATTTCAGGGGGTCTCACAAAGGTTTTTGTGAAAGTGTCACTGCTTTTTTTTTTTTTTTTAGAATCCTGCTATTTGAATTGGCCGATCTATTAACAACTAAGTCAGTCCTCATCTTATTCATGAGGAATAATCCATGAGTCTACAATTTGGTTTCTGGCCTGATGCCACCACAATACTCATCCGACTGAGGACTTTGAATAAGCAACATGAGCAAAAAACAGAGCATGAATGCTTTGAAGCTTTTTGTTGACCTAAGCCAACCATGGAAACAAGTAACAGAGGTCAGCATCACAAAGAAAGAGAGCATCAAGAGTCACAAAATAGTGGAGGACAATACTGAAAATCATTCAAGGCAGAAAAGATCATTTAGTTTAGAAAGCGCAACAAAATCCAGGCCTAAACTAGTGACAGTCTGGATTTATCTGAGATCAAACAGATCTTTGAGGTAAGAGCAGAAGAAATGAATGTTTGAGAGGGAGTAGAGGCAGAGATGATGTCTCTGATCACCAGGAAACAAACACACAAATAACAACCAAGTACCTGGACAGACACAGAACAAGCTGCCACAAGGAGACTGTGGACTAGGTTAAAGCATGCAGTAGCTCAGAAGCAAAGCCTGGGCACAGTGATAGTACAAACTTTGTCTTCAGTAAAGCACCAGTAAAGCACCTGCCCAAAGCCTGTTACACAGTGTATAAGCCCCTCTGAGCATTGTGTGCATTTATTTTCAGCCCAAACACTGGAAAAATGCAATAACTGCCATTATGATTGACTAGGACTAGGAACCATGGCACAGAGACCAAGAGTAGTATTTTCAATTATGTGTAAATGACCTGAAGCCTTTATAAAGGCCTGGTAACACAGAGACCTAAACTTTGGTTTCCTTGTAGCTGCATACAAGCTTTTATCCAAATCACTTATCTTTATGCCATGGTTTCCCCACCTGCACAACAGGGCCAACAGCTACAACAAAAGTCTAGGATTCCTTACAGCATTATCCAAGCCCCTGTATTCTCGCCACATGCTTGCTGCAGAAAGGAATGGAAACATAGCTTATAAGAATGCTTTCACAGGATCCTGAGGAAAATGTCTTCTTTTCTAGGTTTTACTGCTAAAAGAGGGCATTCTGCACAACATATGGACAAGTGAAGTGCTTTCCAGCTTCAAGTCTAGGGGAGCAAACCAGCCTAGCTGCTATGCATGCTCTGTGAATTCTGCATCAGTTTACCTCTGGAACATGCAAGTGGATATGGGAAGACATGAGAAAGTCATTGTTGGAGTCCTTCTGCATCAGAAAGGCTCTTGCAAATGTGTAAGCTATTTTGGCACTCTCTTTCATGACATCTCCCAGTTGCCCTGTTACTTCAAGGGACCCATCCTTGTTCTCCTTGTCTTTGGGTCGCCTCAGGGATGTTTCAACAAACAGAGTGGAACCTCCTAAGAAAGAAAAGAAAAACAACATCCTGAAAAAAGTTAAAGGCAAATCAAACCAGAAGGTTTTGGTGATACAGAAGCAACGTCAGGAATTTGGAACTGGGACTCTCTAATGAGACACTAGTTCCTGGGTAAAGAGCTCTCCGAATCCCTTCAGGAAGCCTAGCACT